TACCACATTTTTAATCATATCTTTGTTATTCCGTATTGTACGTATACTTTTTATATTACGATTTTTAATTTAATGTATTGACTTGAATAGGCCGGGTGAATAAAAATGAGCAATTGCTTTTACTCAGTAATTGGTCAGCTTTACGTGAATAAAAACATTAGCAGTTTTGCTCAAATTTTTATTCAGTAAAGTTAAGCAATATACTTAGTAATTGTTCGGCTTTACGTAAATAAAAACTTACGAAAAATTTCTTTAGCTTTTATTCACGTAAAGCTGATCAATTACTGAGTAAAAGCAATTGCTTGTTTTTATTCACCCGGCCGAATATCTTTAGATTGATTATAAAATTGAAAATTAGAATATTCTAATTTTCGCTTTGAATTTAACTATTCGAATAGTAGCTTTTGATAGCAGCCGTGGCGCAGTGGTTAGAGAACCCAGAGGTCCGAGGTTCGACGCCGACTCTAGCCCAATAAGCGACATATGTCAAGAAAGAGGCGTGAACCTTTTGTTAAATGCTCTCCCGTGGTGCTCCGTGATAAGACCGTAAGGACTTCTGGGAGCACCTAAATAACCTAAAAAAAAAAAAAAAAAAAGTTTTTCATGAAAAAATAAATTCTCATTTTGTGACTAATTTTAGTTTGTGATTTTTATTATTTATTATTCAAAAATATTCATGAAAAACTTGTGAAAAATAAACGGAAATCATCACCAACAGTTTTTAACTAAAATATTTAGTTTTAACTTGACATGAAAATTTTTTTGTGGGGGAAGGGGGCATTGCCCCACAAAAAAACTTTTCATATCAAATTGAACACATATTAATATGTGTTCATTTTCTCGCAGAGATTAGCTTGATCGTTTTTATTTATATTTCTTTTTCTTACGAAGTAGAGCTGAATCGTCACCGATGCCACTAGTCACTGGTGATGGTATATCGGTGTCAAGCAACCTTTCACTGAGAAGGATTTATCACATTGTTTTATATATCTTAAGATTTCAACAATATCAAAGATAGAAATTTTTTATGATGATAATATACTAGTGCAACTTGTGCTTGAACTAAAAATAAATCTAAAATGGCAGACTTAATAGTTAAAAAACTATTTTTTAACGATAAAACACTCAGTTGATGGGGTAATTGTAGGTCAAGTTTAATTATTATTGTTTTTTTTTAGGTTCAGGCACTAAAAATTTTGTTAATTAATATATCCTTAAAATTTTGAAGCTAAAATAATGATTTTTTATTGAGATATCGTTGTTTTCCTACAGCTACTGATAAAAAAAAGGAATTGAAAAAAATCAATTTTCAAAGTAAAAATCATGTACATTATTCAGATAAATTATCAAAAATCACCAACTCAATAATCTTTTGTAGAATTATTTAATATATATATATATATATATATATATATATATATATATATATATATATATATATATATATATATATATATATATATATATATATATATATATATATATATATATATATATATATATATTTATATATATATATTTACTATTAAATTATACAAGGTTTGGTTATACATGGTCAATTGTCTAAAAAACATTTTTTCAAATTTTTCATTTTTTTCCCAAAATAATGCCAGGATATCATTTTTAGAAAAGTATAGTTATAGTTTTTTTTGTTTTAAAAGCTTTTAGCCTAAATAAAACACCCTTTTTATGAGTTAACTGTAAATATATTTTTATAACCAGAAAAAAAATTTGTCTCTGGTTATAAAAATACATTTAAACATCTTTAAAGATGTTTCATTCGATTTGTATTTTGCCAGTTTGTAGAGTGTTATAAACTTTACAATACTGCATCATCCAATCAAAAATGCCAATTTTTGACTGAAAGTCATTTGCCAGATAAACACTTCTGTGAACTGGGTCGGAACCCTCAAAATAGGAAAATGTCACTCAATATTTGATACTTCGGCAGAGCGTCTAGCAGAATATTCGATATTCGGCAAAACCACTATCTGTGATATCTCTAATTATAATATTGTATGCGTTTGTTTTTAAACGAACAAACAAAAATAAAAGATTGGAAAGTTAAATTAAATAAAAAGATAAAAAGATTTTAAGATTTTTACTCGATTAAATTGACTTTTAGTCAATTAGTAGAAAGTCTGTAGTTGATTAAATCTACTATCGACTAGTCGACTTTTAATCGACTAGTCGTCGACAGTTGAATTAATATCTTAACAAAAACATTATTTGATTTTTTATAATTTATTTTGTAAGATTTAAAGCATTTTATAACATGATAAATTTGAAAATTAGGTTAAATAAAATGGAAATTTCATGATTTTGATATTTCCAGCTTGGAAATAATCTAACTATAATTGACAGCATTTATATTTGTATTGATTTATAATAAACTTTAACACTAAGTAACACAAAAATGTTAAAGGTAACATTCATATTCAAAACAGAAAAATTGTATAACCAGGGTTAGTAGCAGAGCTCAAATATATTGACTACCAACTTGATGATTTCTTTGTTGCAGATTTTGAACTTTTCAACACAAAATCTCAAGAAGAAAAAAATTTGTTTAAACTGATCCCATTTATCAGAATAACAGATGTCAATGAGATTCTGTGGTAAATAGTAAATAAAAAAGGAAACTACCCTTAAAATCAGTTTGTTAAAGTTTCTATTGATAGAAATAGAGGTCGGGTTTTTCTATTGATAGAAATAGAGGTCGGGTTTTTCTATCGATAGAAATAGAGGTCGGGTTTTTTTGCGGTAACTTGAATTTAAATTTGCCGTTTTTGTTTTTAATTAAAAATATTACTAGTGTTATTTATAATAAAATATTTATGTTTGTTTAAACATTTCTTCATGTCCTAGTGAAACAACAGTTAAACAGTCGACAGCCTAATATGCAAGTCATGTAATGTTTTTTAAAAAAATCGTCGGTAATAAAACACTCTAACTTAAAGTTTCGTTTCCACTGAGTAATAATTTTTTTGAGTTGTTTTATGAAAAGCTTACCATATTCGCCATCTTGTCACGTTTTTCCTTACTAAGTTATTTTTTAATGATATTAATGCACTTAATGTTTATGAAGTGAATGTGAGTTAAATTTTATGTTTTATGTAAAATGATGTAAAATCATTTATTATTTTAAAAGATTTTTAATCTTGAAAACAAACAAAAAATTTAATACTACAAAATAATAACTCATTGTATAAACCCTTTTTTCGAACAAAGTTCATTTAGTTCTGTAATGTTATCGTGCATTCAATCTCGAAAACAAAATCTTCTCCTATCTTTAGAAAGAAGCTAAAAGAATTTATTCTTTTTAATGACAGTCTCTTAAAATACCTTTGAAAATAAGAAAATAATAACATGTTGTTTTTTTTATGCATTTTTTTTTTATTTTTATTTTTTTAAATTTATTAATTTTTTTTTTAATTTTTATTTATTAATGGTTTAAGTTATATTTTATTTATTAAAATTATTTTTTTCGTATTTGCTATTATTTATGCCAGGGACGGATCTAGCATATTTTGTTATTTATGATATGCTAAGTAGATGCTGACTTTCAATGAAGAACCCCCTCCCCCTTTAAATTGAGGGGGTTATAAGATTTTTACATGGTCATAATTTTCGAACGCTAAGAGATTATTTCATGAAGTTTTAAATTTATCAATGAATATAAATTTAGTTGAGAAATAAAAAATAAATATTTTATTAACTTGTTGCTCTCATGTTTGGGAAGGGAGGAAAAAGTTACGCGCATTTTTGTTTCCAGACTTCAATCATCGCAATTACTTGCAAACTATCCTTACTTGAAATAAATAAAACGTATAAATGCGTGGAGTTTGCTCCATGTCTGGAAATTAGCTATCTGAAACACCAAATAGTTCTTTATCCACCCCTGATTTGTGCTTTTTTTGCTAAAAATTGTTTAAAACTAATAAACACCAGATCTCCTTTGTTATAAAAAGCTGTTGTTTATTGGTTTAATGTTTTTCTCCTTTTCAGCAACAAGCGTAGTGCATATTATGCACTATTATGAACATATTTTAGCAGATTTTGTCGTAATTAAATTTGCTAACATGAAATAATAATACTAACTAACACCTCTTTTTATAATTTATTCTATGAATGCCTTTTAAAAAGAATTATTATTATTATCCCATTTATAATTAAAGAAAAAATCAAATCTTTTTCAAAGACATGTTATGATAGATTAGTAATATTTAAAAAGAAATTTTGATGTTTTAAATCAAATTTAAAGGATGCGAGTTTTGATTGCTTACCAACAATTTATAGAAATAACATAAAGATATTCATATTTAAACGTTTTTATAAGAGAGTGAGATGCTTTCTTTTTTAAATTCTAAATTCATAAATCAAATAAAATTATAATTAATTTATTATATCAAATTAGAATTTTTTATATCATATCAATTGAAAAATATTAACGCTTTTTGAAGTAAAGATTTCAGATGACTTTTTATTTTAAACAAGTAATTTATTGCAAGATATTGCTTTTGCCAAATAGTTTTTTTTTTTTTGGATTCTTCGGGCCGTTCGCTGAAATATGGAGCTGGGTCTGGAATTTATAATGGAAACCATACATAAACAAAAGTACCCGCTCTTAGATTCAGAAATTTGATAGTATATATAATTTTTTCGATAAACTTATTTATTTTTCTATAATTTTTTAATTTTACTTATTTTGAATCAAAATTTATTTTCTTAGTATTATAATTTAGAATCGTTCAAAGAATTATTTGGCATACTAAATTTAAAGCTTAATCACCAATCAACTAAATTTTACTAATACATTTTTATTTTTAAATCCTGATTAAATAAGTTATGGCGAAAAATTAAAACTAGTAAAAGAAATTGAGATTAATGGAAATTGTTCAAACTAATGTAAATTACACCCATAGATTAAAGCTTTATAGAGTTTTCCTGCATTAAAGATATTATTTACGTATCTTGTAACTATTGTTTTCATTTTATTTTAG